GTGGGGGGGCGTTAGAAAAATATATATTTTTACATTTATTTACTTAGTTTTTTTACTTTACTTAATTGCTATCACATAAGGGGGATTACAAGCTCCCTATGTGATAGCACATTGGAGGTGACAGGCAGTGGCGTCACTAGGGGGGTGCAGCCCCGCACCTGGGTGACACGATTGGACTGACAGTCATTTTGGTGTCACCTCCTCTTAAAAGTCGGGACCTCAGTCATAGACCAAGAGCCCCACAGTTGCATGAGAGGGGAGGGGACCCGGTCGCATACTTTATCCCGCCGGGTGAACGACCCCTCTTCTCTCTGCTGGCATCCATCACCAAGATGGCAGGTAACAGTGTGTGACATCATCACACGCGTGCGCAATGACGTCATGGCAGGGTGTCACCCGGTACTCGCTACGGATCACACCGTGCCTTTGGACTCCCCTAGTGACAGGTTCTCTTTAAGGTGCAATTAGGGGTCTATTAGACTCCTAGTGTCACCTTTGCACTCCAAATAAGTTATTGGAGCGCAGATTGCCCAAACGTTTCTTTTAGGTTTGTATGGAGTGCAGAGGGAAAAGAAGACCCATCAGGTTTATATTGCTGTCTGTGTCCCTGTTCTGAACATTCACCCTATTTGTCCTGATGACTGTTATCACTGAAAGTGAAAGAAAATCCCACATTTTGGGCTGTCATCAGAACAGGAATAGATAGGAAATCTTCCAATGGGGACACTAGTTCTGGTGACCCTGCAGACAACCAGGGATTTCCCTTTCTTTGGAGGGATTTCCTCTCACTTCCTGTTGTGGCTTTTAGACAGCAAGTGAGTGGGAATTTGCCCAAAAACTGACAGGGGTTGTAACCCTCAAAACTGTGGCCTTTATTTACTACTTTATTTATTCACCTCTTCTATTTGAACCTTATGTGAAAAGTGGGTGTGCCTTGAAAGTTGTGTGAATCTTTGGTGAAAACTGATCAGTAGACCCAGTGGCGTAACAACCGGGGGGGGCGCCATCACCGACTGGGGGTGTACAGGGACAATGATGGCATGCTTGGACTTGTAGTTCCTTAGCTGATATATATGTGTGGGGTACAGTTCTAGTGGCTGTTTATATAATATGGGGGGGGGGCGAAAAAAAAAATTCTGCCCCGGGCGCCCATAACTCTGGTTACGCCACTGAGTAGACCCCCTTATGACTCTTTATTGCATATTAACCCTTCTACGTTGCTATTGCTGGGCAGCAGCCACAATGTAAGCGGAATGGGCCATTCGTCTTCCTTATGTTATCAGCAGCGTGTCACACCCACTATGGGGCGGCTTCCATAACACTGGAGGATGACAATGAGCACAGAACTGCAGCTGTTCCCTAGAGCGACCAATCATAATGCACATGAACTCATAGGTCGCTGTTGGTGACAACTGGTTTTGTACTCGGCACGTATTGTGCTTGGTGCTCCAGGAACGAGCCCAGCACATGAATCTAGGAACCCAGCCAGTCCTACCACAGGCATTCCCCGAGCCTTCTTCACCCCGCCCACACTCCATCCCAGGCCTCGCCTGCTCAGAGCCTAAACTTCGCCCCCCGGCCGCCCTGTCAATCCGCCCCTCCCGCAATACCTTCCCTGCCTATGCTCCGCCCCGGTTCCCTGCCTACACCCCGCCTCCAGCGGCGGCTGACCCGGGCGTGCTTGTCACTTCCGCTGAACCTGCCTCTTTTGCTTCCTTCCGGAGCTCCGGACTCGGCGGAGGATCCGGGACCCACCCTGAGTGGAGAGGTGAGCCCTATTGGACATGAGCGGGGGTCCGGACTGCAACATATCTATAGTATATGTAGGACATGATATGGGACCGGTCTGGCTATATAAAGGGGGAACCCCAATACTGCCTGCATAGGGGGGAGAATATCTACACATACTACCTATGGGGGAAACCCCCCTGTCCATACTACATGTATAGAGGGGGGAGACCCCCTGTCCATACTGCATGTATAGAGGGGGGAGACCCTCCTGTCCATACTGCATGTGTAGAGGGGGGAGACCCTCCTGTCCATACTGCATGTGTAGAGGGGGGAGACCCCCCTGTCCATACTGCATGGGTAGAGGGGGGAGACCCCCCTGTCCATACTGCATGCGTAGAGGGGGGAGACCCCCCTGTCCATACTGCATGCGTAGAGGGGGGAGACCCCCCTGTCCATACTGCCTGCGTAGAGGGGGGAGACCCCCCTGTCCATACTGCCTGCGTAGAGGGGGGAGACCCCCCTTGCGGGGGGGGGGGGGACCCCCCCTGTCCATACTGCCTGCGTGGAGGGGGGAGACCCCCCCTGTCCATACTGCCTGCGTGGAGGGGGGAGACCCCCCCTGTCCATACTGCCTGCGTGGAGGGGGGAGACCCCCCCTGTCCATACTGCCTGCGTAGAGGGGGGGGGCCCCCCCCCTGTCCATCCTGCCTGCGTAGAGGGGGGGGGCCCCCCCCCTGTCCATCCTGCCTGCGTAGAGGGGGGGGGCCCCCCCCCTGTCCATCCTGCCTGCGTAGAGGGGGGGGGCCCCCCCCCTGTCCATCCTGCCTGCGTAGAGGGGGGGGGCCCCCCCCCTGTCCATCCTGCCTGCGTAGAGGGGGGGGGCCCCCCCCCTGTCCATCCTGCCTGCGTAGAGGGGGGGGGCCCCCCCCCTGTCCATCCTGCCTGCGTAGAGGGGGGGGGCCCCCCCCCTGTCCATCCTGCCTGCGTAGAGGGGGGGGGCCCCCCCCCTGTCCATCCTGCCTGCGTAGAGGGGGGGGGCCCCCCCCCTGTCCATCCTGCCTGCGTAGAGGGGGGGGGCCCCCCCCCTGTCCATCCTGCCTGCGTAGAGGGGGGGGGCCCCCCCCCTGTCCATCCTGCCTGCGTAGAGGGGGGGGGCCCCCCCCCTGTCCATCCTGCCTGCGTAGAGGGGGGGGGCCCCCCCCCTGTCCATCCTGCCTGCGTAGAGGGGGGGGGCCCCCCCCCTGTCCATCCTGCCTGCGTAGAGGGGGGGGGCCCCCCCCCTGTCCATCCTGCCTGCGTAGAGGGGGGGGGCCCCCCCCCTGTCCATCCTGCCTGCGTAGAGGGGGGGGGCCCCCCCCCTGTCCATCCTGCCTGCGTAGAGGGGGGGGGCCCCCCCCCTGTCCATCCTGCCTGCGTAGAGGGGGGGGGCCCCCCCCCTGTCCATCCTGCCTGCGTAGAGGGGGGGGGCCCCCCCCCTGTCCATCCTGCCTGCGTAGAGGGGGGGGGCCCCCCCCCTGTCCATCCTGCCTGCGTAGAGGGGGGGGGCCCCCCCCCTGTCCATCCTGCCTGCGTAGAGGGGGGGGGCCCCCCCCCTGTCCATCCTGCCTGCGTAGAGGGGGGGGGCCCCCCCCCTGTCCATCCTGCCTGCGTAGAGGGGGGGGGCCCCCCCCCTGTCCATCCTGCCTGCGTAGAGGGGGGGGGCCCCCCCCCTGTCCATCCTGCCTGCGTAGAGGGGGGGGGCCCCCCCCCTGTCCATCCTGCCTGCGTAGAGGGGGGGGGCCCCCCCCCTGTCCATCCTGCCTGCGTAGAGGGGGGGGGCCCCCCCCCTGTCCATCCTGCCTGCGTAGAGGGGGGGGGCCCCCCCCCTGTCCATCCTGCCTGCGTAGAGGGGGGGGGCCCCCCCCCTGTCCATCCTGCCTGCGTAGAGGGGGGGGGCCCCCCCCCTGTCCATCCTGCCTGCGTAGAGGGGGGGGGCCCCCCCCCTGTCCATCCTGCCTGCGTAGAGGGGGGGGGCCCCCCCCCTGTCCATCCTGCCTGCGTAGAGGGGGGGGGCCCCCCCCCTGTCCATCCTGCCTGCGTAGAGGGGGGGGGCCCCCCCCCTGTCCATCCTGCCTGCGTAGAGGGGGGGGGCCCCCCCCCTGTCCATCCTGCCTGCGTAGAGGGGGGGGGCCCCCCCCCTGTCCATCCTGCCTGCGTAGAGGGGGGGGGCCCCCCCCCTGTCCATCCTGCCTGCGTAGAGGGGGGGGGCCCCCCCCCTGTCCATCCTGCCTGCGTAGAGGGGGGGGGCCCCCCCCCTGTCCATCCTGCCTGCGTAGAGGGGGGGGGCCCCCCCCCTGTCCATCCTGCCTGCGTAGAGGGGGGGGGCCCCCCCCCTGTCCATCCTGCCTGCGTAGAGGGGGGGGGCCCCCCCCCTGTCCATCCTGCCTGCGTAGAGGGGGGGGGCCCCCCCCCTGTCCATCCTGCCTGCGTAGAGGGGGGAGCCCCCCTGTCCATACTGCCTGCGTAGAG